CTTAGGTGGTGTTGTGAGTATTTGGCTGTGTTGTGAGTACTGCTGTTAGTATTTGGTTGTGTTAAGTATTGGTTGGGTTGAATTCAGTTGTGCTGTTAGTATTTGGCTGCGTCTGTTAAGTGGCGAGTGGTGAGTAATTTTCTATTTGCTGCGCATGTGTTGTCAAAAGGATGTTTTCTCCATTTGCGTTATGTCTTAAGTGTGCAGTGCAGTGTGTTGAGCTGTCAGGACCACCATACTCATCCCCCAATATACTTATACGACTGCTATCTCCTCGACATGTACAGTGGTATATATTTCATGTCTGTCTTTCTGTCCTGCAGGTATCAATCAAGGCAGCTGTTACAGAATCAACCATTTCCCTGACGACAACGACTACGACACAGACAGCTCTGAATACCTGCTGCGTAAGTGCATCTTTTACTTTACAGAGGCGAGCAGGACGTCTGCTGGCCTTCAACATCTTATCACCCAGCAGTCTGCAATCAAGTGATGCCTGTTTAATTGTTTGGTTAACTGTTTGGATTTGTTCTCGGAGAATTCATTATTCCTATCAACGCGTTCCAACCCTACAAATGAGAGGTTAATACTGGTTTCAGACATAGAACTCGAATATATAATCTTGACATGATTATGAAGTATTAAAAAGTGTGTAAAATACACACAATGCAATACAAAAGCGCTTTACATTACAGTTTTGTCATTCACCTATTCACACAGTGCATCTATGTGCAGCACTTTCTCTATTGCACAAAACTCATCAGGGGCAATTTGAGGTTCAGTAACTTTGGCATGCAAAATGGGGAAAACAGGGATCGAACCGTTGCTATTCATGTTGGTAGACGACCCAATCTATCTCCTGAGCCACAGCTTCCAACAGTCTGATGCCTGTTTGTTTTTAAAAATTTTAATTACGTTGAATTATTCCAGTGCAGGATCAGCAGATCATTTCATGTTTACCTAATTTGTCTTTTTTCATTATTATGCATTTCTATCATATTTTGAGCTGTGCCAACTACGAGGAGAATTAAATCTAATTTGTGTTGAAGACTCTTTTTGCAGCAGCAGCATTTCAATTCAAGGTATTCATTTGTGAAAACACATAACTTGTGATTAGTCTTTAGATTTAAATGGAGATGTTGAATCAGCAGAGGTCTTCTGTTTGAAGCACAGACAACTCAGTATCTGGCTTAAATACAGAAAGTAACAAAGAAGACTTATCCGACTTTAGACAAAGTCCAACCTCAGTCCATTAGGACGACTGAATAAAAGGAGGGCTTAATAAAAGACTTCACGGCTGAATAAGCTCATCCATCCTTGTAAAGTTGTAAAATGGCAGAGTGATTCATTTCTGGGGAGGCGATCGTCACTGAGAGCTCTTGTTACATCCCACAGCTGATTAGCAAAGCTTTGTCACAACAAGGCCCCAAAGTATAAATGATAATGGAGTTCTCAAAAATGGATGGAGAGGGGGCGGAACTGGAGAGATGAGGGCTCAGCAGGGTAATGAAAATTCAAATACTTTTTCCTTTTACAACCTGTGTTGTTAAAAGACTGAACAAATCCCACACTCTGATTGTCTGTGATTTATCCATTTATCCATGTATCTCTGCATCTGAATAATTCCTTTTAATCAATTCTAATGATTGATGGACTGACTCATTAATTTGTATTTTTTAAACTAGCCTCTCCCTTGTCCAATCATATCGGTCAATGAACTGTGTTTGAAGTATTCACAGTGGCTTATTTAATAATCTCTTTGCCTCTGCAGGTATAGTACGTGCCTCCAGTGTGTTCCCCATCCTCAGCACCATCCTGCTGATGCTGGGAGGGTTGTGTGTTGGCCTGGGCCGAATCTACAACAAGACAAACAACGTGCTCCTCAGCGCAGGCATTTTCTTCGTCGCTGCAGGTAAGCTGGAGGGCTGAGTGCACGGTCAGCCACGCTCCTGCAGCATGGGGGGAATCGTGTTCGAGCCGGGGGGTTTGATAATGAACAAAGGCGGCTTGATGTAGCACCTGTGGTCACGTATTGGAATTCATCAGTGGTGCAATCATATAGACTGAAGGTCAAGATCTCCATTCATCACACACCTCTCTCGCACAAGTGATGAGGATGTCATTAAGTTTGAGTCCCGTAATCATTGGAAGATGATGGTGGTAGTTAGTTCATCCCTACAACCTTTTCCTGAATTATTTTTTGCTCATTTCTTGTCTTTCTCTTTTGTCTTTTTAAATTCAGGTCTAAGCAACATAATCGGAATCATCGTCTACATCTCCAGCAATGCAGGAGATCCCAATGACAAACGTGATGATGACAAGAAGTACACCTACTCCTACGGTTGGTCTTTCTACTTTGGCGCCCTCTCCTTCATTGTGGCCGAAGCTGTGGCTGTCCTCGCCATCAACATCTACATCGAGAGAAACAAGGAGGTCCGCTGGAAGGCACGGCGCGAGTTCATCCGCTCGCTCTCCTCATCCTCCCCTTACTCAAGGATACCGAGCTTCCGCTATCGCCGGCGGACGTCGCACGCCAGCTCTCACTCTACGGAGGCATCACGGGAGAATTCTCCAGTGGTCGGGCTGAAAGGGATGCCATCTTCAAGCGGTCCCCTCGACGAGCTCTCCATGTACGCCCTGGCGAGGGACAGCGTGGCGGAGAACACGTACAGCCCTGAACATGAGGCTGCTGCTGAGTTCCTGCAGGTCCATAACTGTTTTCCCAATGATTTAAAAGACGGGGTAAATCGCAGGACCACACCGGTGTGATGGAGCATGTTGCCGGGCTCGGGGATGAACAGGAAATGATGAAAAAGTCACAAGGCGGACCTGCTGGAGCCTGAGTGCCTGTGATGGCCTGCCATGATAGAGGCCCAGTTCTCAGAGACTGGTCCCTCTGGAAAATGAGCAGAGGGAGGCGACAGGACAGTCAGCTGATAGGAGGATGAGCCGTTTGGGAGAACTCGATTATTTACCTGCTTTTAGGGGCCACCAAAGCAGAATAGAGTGGCCATTGTTCGTCGCCAATGCAAATTTTGTGTTATCTTTCAACTGTGTTAAAAAATACTTAGGTGAACAGTGTGTGGATCACAACCCTTGATTGTGTAGTAGTTTGTGTAATGGTCTCTCAACATTGTGGGCAAACATGAGAAATTGAAGCTGTGCCAATCAGCAGGACTCTACCTGTAATTTATTTAACAAGGTGCTACAGGGAATCTCCTCTGCAACTTGAAAGTGTTGGATTTGTGTGTGTAGTTCAAAGTCCAAAGTTATATTGTGCCCTGATTACCAGTTTGGTCCTGCCTTATACTCACAGGCATGAAAGAGCTCTCTCTTCACTGTCCTTTAGGATAGTATATGGCCTTTTAAACAAATTACAAATATTTTGAAAAAAATGTTTTTTCGCATTCTAGAGTTGTAGCATATTGAATGTTTAGTATTTCAGCACATAGTACAAGTCAACCCATCCAGTCCTCCAAACGTAAGCCGTTTTCAGAAACGAAAGTCTGGAGAACTGGGTGCGGACTTTCTCCAGGGGTTTTCCTATCCTTAACCCTAACCCACAGGAGAAACAGAAACCTCTGGAGCTTTCAGGTGAGGGCTGATGCAGCAGGCAATTCCACTGTGGAGATCATGTTTTTGTTTACAGCTAATTGACACTGGTGTCAGCCCTTATCTCCAGAAACTTAACATCTTCGTCAGTGTCTTCTACCTGTATTTTCTTCTGGAGATTTTTGTTTTCTTTTATTTATTCTTGCGTCTGTCGCATGTCAGAAACATCGTTCACACACCCACTTGCTTGCGGTGAATCTCCTGCTGTGTTCTCACATCGACTTCTGCAGACTTTTTACAAGGGGACTGGCCAGAGAAAGTCTGCACAATGTCCAGAGGCTCTCACTCTGACATTTGCATTCACACATACAGCCCCTCCTGAGAACGTCGGGAGGATCTCCGGGGTTCAGTGGATGTCTGAAAGTAGCTGTGCTCAAAGATGTTGTCTCCCTTGCTGCCTCCTCCTTAATCCTATAAGTCTCTGACATTTGTCGGTGAAAAAAAAGAATGTCGGGTATGTCGATGGAACCCCTCCTTTCAACGCGCTCCTCTCTTTTTATTCACTTTCATATCAGTCTGCCATCCTTCCATCACAACCTCTCGATGGATGTGACATCGTGTATGTGCCTATCACAAGAGGAAAAAAAGGAGGGAGCAGGGGGAGACGGCACAGGTCAGGACCTCCTCTTGCTGTGAATGGAGCCCTGGCATCCATGGTGTTAAATGGATAAGGATCAGAGTCAGGCAGAGAACGCATGTCTGTCTATCACACTGCCCACTGAGTCCATCCGGCTGCCTTCTCCCCCCGCTCCCATGTCAAACCCCGACAGAGGCAGAGGGAGCTGTCTGCGACCACGTCCCTGAAGGATTCTGCTCTAATGACAAGACATGCGCGTCTACTCTTGTCCCTGCATGTCCATCTCTGCTCTTTCTTTTAGTTCTCTCAGGAAATACTGTGTTGTTGTGGCAGGTTGAACGCTTTTGAGGTCCTCTGCTGCGTTTGTGGCAGGGCTGAGGGGAAATGGACCAGCGACAAAGACAAACCTGGTTAAAATTACTTGAGGACGAAAAAAACAAACGCCATTACTGTATGTAGAAAATGCTGTGAATGTTTGCTTCATCTTGTTCCAAGAACCAGCTGGGGTGGGGTTTTCTTTCTTTTTTTTCAGTCTGAGGGCTATTCAGTTGGTTCTGGTTTGGTAAGCGAGCTCACTCAACCACACAATAGTATTTGATTGTATTTAGTGTGTTTGATATTCCATTAGAGATACCACCTCATATATTATGGGCTCATTTAAGAGTCAGCCGTAGACCCTACACTTTTATATTACAGTGTGAGGGAAAATATCAAATTGTGTTTGTTTGTAATGTAAAGTTGTATA